GAGAAATGCATCTTTGTCGGATATGGTGAGAGAAGAATGGGATACAAGCTGTATAATCCCATCACCAAGAAGGTAATTATGAGCAGAGATGTTATCTTTGAAGAAGATAAAACTTGGCAATGGAATGATGACCAAGAAGCAGTCAAATGGATCAGCATTGATTTGATCCTTGAAGACGAAGAAGTACCAACAGTACTTGTAGAAGGTCCGATAGTACCGGCAGACGAGCCACAAAGTCCGGTACACAGATTTCCTGTATTCAACAGGAGAAACACACCAGAATCATCATCAACACCATCATTACCAGAACCATCATCAGCATCCTCATCAGAAGGACCAAGAAAGATGAGAAATCTAGACGAGTTGTACGATGCCACTCAAGTCATGGAAGATACAACTTTGTTTTGTTTCTTTACCTATAAAACAAAGAAGAATGCAAAAGAAGAAGTGCAAAAATACAAAGCCATTGAAGGAAGAAACATTTATCAGAATGAAGTTCATGCTTGGCATGACATCCCTCGATTGAGTTTAAGGGGGAGATTTGTTGAAGTAAACTCAATCCAGAAGGTCAAGGAAGGCAGCCACCAGCTGTCACCGCCCAGCCACTAACCGACCAGCCACCAGCCGCTTTCACATCGTCGGCCAACCGTCTTCACACTTGAAGGTTGAATTTTCTTGTTTTGATTTCGTGTATAAATAGATAGCTAAGCTTATGCAATTATGTGTGGAGAAATTGAGAGAAACACTAGAGAAAAAGAGAGAAAAAGAGGGGTTGTTGGAAGCTTTTGTTTATGTTATTGTAAGCTTTGTTCTTGAAATAAAAGAGTGTGTTTTATCCCCTCCGAGTGTTTCAAAGTCACCACAAGTGGTTTCTCCCACCAACATCAATTACATGCTGTAGATTCAAATTCAGTTTTATACGTGTTATTATCGTTTAAAAAATTTATTTCATCCAATATTTTTTATAGTTTTAAAACCAATCAAAGACTTAACCTGTTTAAAATTTAGATTGTCCAGAAATCAATAAAAAATTTATTTAAAAAATTTAAAATAACCAAGTTATATACAATATTGTATTGATTTACCAGATCTAGTTTGAGTTTCAAACTATGATTTTGACGTGGATGCATCAAATTAAATATTTCCAATTAGAGTTTAGATTTGAATACTGTAGGAATGCTTTTAATAAGGATTCACGCTGCCAAGAGATGATCGTATACATTCATTACATGAACAAGCATGCATTAACAATTGCCAATAGTTTATCACAAAACATGAACTTATGCTCATACGATGCTTTCCTTAATTTTATGTCATTTTTTTTGTCACGAAACGTGAACATATAAACCTTGGCTGTGAGTGTCTTGCCGCAAAACCAATTATCTTTTCTGTCAATTATTTTAGAAATTAATTAGTTGCGCTATCTTTGAATTTAACTTAAAAAAATTAAATATAAAAAGATAATATTTAAGTTGCGCTATCTTTGAATTTAAGTTGTGGTGTAATTTTTTTATATTATCATTAAACTCAGTTTTTTATCAAGTTTAAATTTCAAAGTAAATTGTATAAAAATTATTTTAATATGATATAATTAACTTAACAAATCTAAAAAAAATAATAAAAAAATAAATACGAGATGCTCATGTTTAAAGATAACCTGAATGATTTATAAAAAAATGGTTGATTTTTTAAAAAAACCAATATTTAAAAAAAAACATTGAGACATTATGATGTATTGGATTGCAAGGTTCAATAATATTTTTTTATTTCAGATTTCTTCAAAATGTCATAAATTTTCCAACGACTTATTTTATCTTTTTGGAGAATTAATTTTAGTTGATTCTAAAGTTATTATATAATTTTCCCATAAGTAACTCCATACATTCATAACTTCGTAGCAAAGTCGTGGCTGCCAATTAATTAGACCAAGCAGCTAGCAGCCACAAAAAAACCACCATAAGTCCCATAATGATAAAGTAAACTCTCTGATTACACAAAAGAAAGGCATGTCTACAATAGAAAGGTAAAATTGGAGAAAAAATGATACAAAAACAAAGTTCTAAATCTACTAGTTAGGCTAAGTTAAACATGTAGAGAGTTGAGTCAAGGGGGATGAACATTCTCTCTCTCAAAAAAAAAAAAAAGAAAAGGGAGGGGGTTGACCATCATGGGACAGGGTAAGACTTGTTATTACACATGCACTTATAAGCCATGGGACAAGTCTCAGCCTCTTCAAGTGAAGCACAAATAAAACTGACCATTACTAGTCTACACGGTGAGCATGACCCACATGCATGAGAACAATCTGGCAAACTTGATCCTGCAATTTGGACAGTATCAGCACCCCTTCTCTTTGCCGGCCACCTTTCCCTGTATAAGAAATTGGGTTTTGCCACTGTCCCATCTTTAATTCGAGGCTGTGTCGAATGGTGGTGCCCATGGTCTGTTCAGCATTAAATGGAAAAAAAGAAGAAGAAGTTAGTCGCAATAGAAACCCTAGCAAAAGCAATTAAATAAAGAATTTGAAGTAGGAGGAGTTAACGAGAGGGGTTCATACGTGTTCGTGGCCTGCCTATATGCCTCGCTGATATGGCCATTGGAAGAAGAAAGAGAGCAATGATTACTAATGCAGCAACAAAAATCTTCATGGCTTTGGTTTTTCTCATTTGTGTTAATTAGTAGAGTGCCTATATATGTGTCGAGAAAATTTGAGACAAAGGTTTGAGAGAGGAAGTGTAGATGTACAGGAATGTATAAACTGGTGGGCAGGATCGGAGATAGAATTGAAGCAAATCACAGGCAAGAGTGTGTGCCCAAGAAGTGTGACAAGAGAGGGTCACATGAAAAGGGATGCACAAGCCAGGTTTGCTTACGATAGTCACAGGACTCAAGCCTTTTGACATGGGTGTGGTTCCATGGAAGAAAGGTGAAATATATAGAATGAAAGAATTAACTGAATTCAAGTGCTTTCGTTACGTGACTTTCTGACCAAGTACATAAATGTTAGGAGGGATTTTCAAATTTATTGAATTTTTGAAGCTTAAAGGCACTATAGGAGCTAATAAATTAGACACTGTAGATTTAATGTGATTGCCATTAATGCCTTCTGCTTCTATAGTAGATGTATGTAGTATATGCTTAAGTTCGGACCACCTTGAAGCTATTTAATTCTAGGAAAATAAGATACCTAGTTCTGTTCAAATCTTACCCTGTCCTCATTAGACCATCTCCTTTCCAGCAGCCTACATGTAGTTAACTAAGCTATTTTACCCGTTGTGAGTCTTAATTTAATATATATATATATATCAAGTCTACAAGCTATTTTAATATGTTTATTACATAAAAAATTCAAAATATAAATAGAAAAGTTTATACATGTACATAATTAAATAAATTAATTTAGACATCTACTAGATTTACAGTATTTGTTTATTAAAATTAATAAGAGATAATAGAAATAGAAATATATATGAAACTTATTTAATAAAATAAAAAAATTACACAAGGCCAAACATAATACAAATATTATTTAAAAATAAATATTTTTATTTTTAAAAATATATTTTTTATGTATTTAAATAATAAAAAATTATAGATAAAATAAAATAATATCTTCAAATATAACATACAAACAAAGATAAAAAAAAACAAAAAAAACTTCTATTCAAAAAAGGTATGCAAAGCTCATTACTTATGTCATGAGAATATAATAAACCAATAAAAAAAATTAAAGATAATTATAAAACTAATTTTTTTAAACAAAAATATAGAAAGATAAAATCATAAAAGAAAATAAGTTAAAAAAAATGTTGAAATGTATTAAATTTCATAATCATGACCCTGTTTATTACATTAAAAGCACTACAAATAGAAAAACCACGTAATCCAATTTCCAACAAATCAAATGCTAGTCGATAAAACTAGAAAAAACAATTGCACAAAAAAAATCTAAACAAAAAACTACATTTAAAATAATGAAGGTGAAAATTGAAATAAAATATAAATTAGAGGGCAATAAAAAAAATTTCAATTGGAGGGTTTAATTGAAAATAAAAATAACTTTAACAAAAGGAAAAACAAATAAAAAAATGCAAGCCAAATTGAAAAAAAAAATAAAACAATATAAACTTTGATTGAATAATGAAATTAAAAATCAATAAAACTTTAACAAAAGGGTTAAGAGAAAAAAAATAAATCAAAACAATAAGGACTAAAATTAAAAATATAATATATGAAAAATTATAATTGAAGGACTAAATAGAGAAAAAATAAACTTTTTTTAAAATGGATAAGAATGAAAATAAGGAATGAAATTGAAAAAATAAAAATAAAAGCAAAGAGGATAATTGTGTACTTCTTAATATAAGAGGGGGAAAAGAAATGGAGGAAAAAACAACCACCGTTTACAAACCGTCTATCATCCAAATAAATTCTTACAAGCTGTCCAAATGATGTAGATATCACCTATTCATTGGTGTATAATGATGATGCATTGGTAACCTTTTCAAATAAAAATTTAATTATTTAATGTGTAGATGTCACCTACTCGTTGAGGTGTAATGATCTTGCATGGTAGTTTTTTCAGATAAAAATTTAATTATTTAATACCTTTCTAACTCTGAAAATTACAAAAAAGAACTATGTTTAAGAAAAAAAATACTCCTGGACTCATGGCTTATTTTTGTACTTTTAAGAGAAAAATCATTGTTCATAAAAAGATAAAAACAAATTGATCAATTCTAGTAATTTTGCAATTTTTTTTCAAAGATGAATATATTTCTTCTTTAATGATCAATTAACCACTTGAAAGATAAAATTGTTCCCAGAATTATTCTCAGACTTTTAATTTTTAAACCAAAAGGTAGAAAAGATAATTTTATTATAGCAATCTATATCTATAGTAATATATGTTTGTGATACAAGAAAAAACCCACACCCTATATATTTTCTATTAATAATTTAAGAGGCTTATACATATATATAATTAAATAAAACAATAAGTATTTATATAAATAAATAAATAAATCACTAATAATAACAAAAAAAAATTAAAAAATAAATGTATATATATTTAAACCTATAAAATTAGACATTTACCTGGTTAGGTTTATAGAATTTACATTTACCTGGCTAGGTTTATAGAATTTGTTTATTAAAATTAATAAGATATAATAGAAATAGAAACATATATGAAACTTATTTAATAAAATAAAAAATTATTATACAAGGCCGAACATGATACAAATATTTTTTAAAACTAAATATTTTTATTTTTAAAAATAGATTTTATATGTATTTAAATAATAAAAAATTATAGATAAAACAAAATAATATCTTCAAATATAACATACAAACAAAGATTAAAAAAAAACCTCTATTAAAAAAAAAAGTATGCAAAGCTCATTACTTACATTATGAGACTATGATAAACCAATAGAAAAAAATTAATGATAATTATAACACCTATTTTTTTAAACAAATATATAGAAAGATAAAATCATAAAAGAAAATAAGTTAAAAAGGAATGTTGAAATGTATTAACTTTCAAAATCATGACATTGTTTATTACATTAAAAACACTATAAATAGAAAAATCACGTAACTTAATTTTCAACAAATCAAACACTAGTTGATAAAACTAGAAAACATAATTGCACAAAAGAATCTAAACAAAAAACTATATTTAAAATAATGAAGGTGAAAATTGAAATAAAATATAAATTAAAGGGCAATAAAAAAAGTTCAATTGGAGGGTTTAATTAAAAATAAAAATAACTTTAACAAAAAGAAAAACAAATAAAAAAATGCAGGATAAATTGAAAAAAAAATAACATAAACTTTGATTGAATAATGAAACTAAAAATCAATAAAACTTTAACAAAAGGGTTAAGAGAAAAAAAATAAATCAAAATAATAAGGACTAAAATTAAAAATATAATATATGAAAAATTATAATTAAAGGACTAAATAGAGAAAAAAATATTTATAAAATAGATAAGAATGAAAATAAGAAATCAAAAAAACAAGAAATGAAATTGAAAAAACAAAAACAAAGAGGACAATCATGTACTTTTAAGATAAGAGGGGGGAAAGAGATAGGAAAAAAAAACCACCGGGCTATAGATGGTCTATTATCCATCATCACACATCATACATCACACCATAAGAAAAAGAACATGATAGCGCTTCCAAAATCACGACAAAAGGGTATGTTTGGCCATCAAATGAATTCTCATAAGTGGTTCAAATGATGTAGATGTCACCTATTCACTGGTATATAATGATCACGCATCAGTAGTCTTTTCAAATAAAAATTAAATTATTCAATGTGTAGATGTCACCTATTCGTTGAGATGTAATGATCTTGCACAATAGTCTTTCGAATAAAAATTTAATTATTTAATACCCTTTTGACTCTGGAAATTACAAAAAAAAAACTATGTAAAAGAAAAAAAATACCCCTAGACTCATGGCTTATTTTTATCCTTTTAAGAGAAAATTCATTGTTCATAAAAAAACAAAAAAAAATTGATCAACTCTTTTAATTTTTTTTATCTTAGAGGTAAATAAGTAATTTTGCTTTTTATTTTTATTTTTTTTGAAAAGATGAATGTATTTCTTCTTTAATGATCAATGAACCACTTGAGAAGATAAAATTGTTCCCATCATTATGCTCAGACTTTTAATTTTTAAACCAAAAGGTAGAAAAAGTAATTTTATTATATCAATCCATAATAATTAATGTGTGTTTGATACAATAAAAAACCCACACTCTATATATTTTCTATTAATAATTTAAGAGGATCGATAGTTAATTATCACAGGTTTAGGTTTGTAAATGATGGCCAGATTTTGCTCGATTAATTTGGTTTGAACATGATTGGTTACAAGTATATGGTACCATTAAAACTCAATCATTTCCCCTTTTCTGCAGCAAGCTACTCAATGAGGTGATCCCCAGCTACACAAATAATTAAGTTGTAAGGCTGGAGAGGGAGGCCAAAAATAATGTAGTATAAGTCAATCAGTGTCCTCTCTTCTTGGCGAAAAATGAACTTTATTGCTCTGTATGCATGCATTATCGTTTCTCCTATTCATAAGAGATCATCATCACCTATATTACAATTACAATTACAAATTATAATAATAATGATAAAAAAAAGATAGCTCAGCCTTTCTTTATCCACATAATCATATTTCATTGTGGATTTGTAGAATGAAATTAGTATTTTACTCTCGAAAAAAATAATCATTTAACTTGATTTTAGAGGTAGGAATTGTTTTCCATAAAATCCATTAATCATTGTATTAAAAGGGGGCAAGTAAGTTTTTTTATAATTTAAATAAACAGTGTTATAACTAAAATATCTTTAGAAATTAAAAAAAAAAAGTGGGGAGAAGAGCTTTATGGTCTTTTTGTACTTTGAATACATAATAAAATGATTATATTGCCCTTAAAATAAATAAAAACTTATATTTGGGGTTACTTTGTAATTATGTACTTGTATGGGGCAATTAAGTCTTATAAAAAAACACTGGCCGTCAAACAAACTGTCCATCAAATTCTTATTGGGGTTTTTGTAGTCGGCTATAGCCTCAACTCAAACGTCAATATATTGTACAGAATTCGTAAATGGTTTAGTAGTTTAATACCCAAAACTATAGTACATGTAAGCAGAATACACGCATATTTGTGAGGCATGATACGAGCACCGACCAAGAAAACAGTATATCTAATTTATTATATTAACTTGGGTTAGTGTTTTTATTAAAATAATATTATTTTATATTTTTTTTTAAAAAAAAAATTATTATTGACTCGGTTAAGTTTGTCTATTAATTAAATTGTATAAAATTTAATTAAATCAATTAGATTTCACTAAGTTCATGCTTTTCTAGTTTAACTTAAAGTGAGTTCTAGATTAGCTTCTTCATCCTGAATTTTAAATATTAACTTGCTATGTTAAGTTTAACAACTATGAATACATACATAATATTGTTTTTTTCTCATGATATAAAGTCTATTATATCCATGTCGTTGTTAAAAAATAGGATAACAATTGTATTAGTAAAAGCAATGCCTAATTCTCCTTCAGAAATTATTGTGCATTGTTTAGTAATCACCGTGAATTATAATAATAATTCACACGGGATTCATTTTATATCATGGTCATTTGATTTCATTTTTTTTTAAGTAATTTGACCTTTGGGCATTGCAATAATGTGAGTTTGGGCTTTACACATTGTTTGGTATGTATATGAACAGAGACCTCAATGTGTTAATGAAATATATTGTTACTTGCTTAATCCTTAGCTTTACAAAATAAATTTTAATTTTATTGATTTATAATAAAATTAAGCTTAGCTTTGCAAAATAAAATTTAATTTTATTGATTTATAATAAAATTAAAGTTTTATTATAAACCAAAGTATAGTTAATGTTTAGGATAAGGTTGTTTAGCATGTACAATGCATGCTAGGGGGCAAGGGAGACCGCACTATTCTGGCTGCACGTGACCTTATACGATAGTCAAATTCAACCATCTAAGATAGAGATGGATGTGGTGTAGCGTGTTCTTCCACATAGTAAAATGCATGTGGTCATTTTGATGACGATGTGTCCTCAATGTTTTTTTTTTTTTGTCTCTTTTATCTCTTGTCTCCTTGAAATTTAGACTGGATTATAAAAAAATTTGAATTGTTCTCTCTCATTTTATTGTCATTTAAGATGTGATTCTTATTTTTTTAATTATCCAATTTTTAGTCTAGATTATTTTGTAAAATTTATTTTTTTCAATTTTACTCTTTAATTAAAAAATTAAATTTTTTCATCTTATTTTATTATTCAGATTTGATCATATTATTTTAATTGCTATTTTGGTCCATGAGTTTTTTTATTTTTACATTATTTGGTCCCTATAGTTTTTTTGCATGTGTTTTAGTCTTCAAATTTTATTTTCATCATATTTTAGTCTTTAGGTTCATAGAGATGAGAGAGAATGTTGTAAAAACAAGGAGAGGAGAGATAGAATTCTTGTTCATGTTCATGTTCATTTTAGTCACAAAAAAGCTAATCTTGGTGTCAATAATTTTGACATTCAACCATCTTAAAAAAAGAGATTGAGGTTTATAAATTTTGTTTAATTTTATTTTTTATTTTTTAAAGTGATTAAATGGTGTTTTGAGGTTGTAAACAAGGTTATTGAGGCTATCAGGATATTTTTCAAATGAAAACAAGTGAAAATTAAATTTTAGGTCTTAAATTTGTTGTGTTGGAAGACATTGTCGTGTTGGACGACATGTCGTTTTCCTAGAAACAATCAACATGATATCTTTACCTATTAAACAAACAAAACCAAGTGGCCCAACCTAGGCTCACGTGAGCTAAGGAATTGTTTTTTTAGAACAAGTTCGTGAGTTTTTTTTAGGCCATGGCTTTTTTTAATAAAATTCTATTTAAATAACATTATTATAATAATATTTGAAAATGATTTGATCATGCTATAGCTTTCAAATAAATTTATATTTTTGTTTGTGTTATTAACAAACACTTTATGAATTTTTATTATGAATTTTTTTTTTACACAGTTACATAAAAGTAATCAAGATCATGATAAGTTTTTATATAAATAATCTAGGTTATGAACAAAAAGCATTGTTCCTTAAAAAAAAAAAGAGTAAATAATTTAGTTAGTGTAAACATGTTTTAAAAAAGAAAAAAAAAACATGTGACTCGAGTTATAAACCGAACTGGGTAAAATAAATTGGTTTTATTTTAATAAAATGGCAAAGAAAATAGTAATGATAGAAAATAAATCAAATTAAAAAAAATGATGATGATAACTTAGAAAAAAAACATTTTTTGTAAAAGATGACAAATAATGCAACTCAATTTTTAGCCCATTACATATGGAAGGACTAAATAGAGTAAAAATGAACAAAAAAACCCAACATGAGTTAATCCGAGTTAATATAATAAACTTATAATTCAGGAAATAAAAGGCGAATTAACTCAGATTAACCCGAGAAACAAATGGTCCAAGTCATGAGATTAGGACAACTCGATAAAAAAGAAAATATAAAAAATCACAAAGTTAAAAAAATAAAAAAATGTCAATTGTTGATTTTTTAAACCGATGACTTTGGATATTAGATCAGAAACATCTTATCTAGAAAAACCATGAAACTCAATTCTCAACCTATTAACTTGAAAAAATAATATAAATAAAAGGTTGCAAAACAAAAATTGACAATTAAAATAATATGGATCAAAATTGAAATACAAATAAAATTTATTTTTGATTGAAGAGTAAAATTGAAAAGAAAAATTAATTTATCAAAGGCCTTAAAAAATAATTAAAAAAATGATTATCAAATTAAAAAAATAATATTTGAAAAGTTGGGATTGAAAGATGAAATTAAATACAAATAAAACTTCTATAAAATGACCAAAACAAATTCTAGAAATAAAAGGAATAAAAATTGAAGTTGAAATAATAACAACAATGAGTGTCACGCTTTAATTTTCAAGTGGGGGGAAAACCCACCAACTACAAACTAGACTACCATTGCCTATATACACCACATTACGAGGAAAAGGACGCGACATGGTTTTAAAAAATATGATAAAAAAAGCATTTTTGGATGTTAGAAGAGCCAAATACTTTAAAGAATGTGCCACTTGGGTATCCAACCTCTTTTTTGTTAAATATCAAATTGCTCCTAAGTTAATATAATAATAATAATAAAAATAAAAAAACTATTGCAAAAGATGAAAAAACCCCTTAATACTAATTGTATTTTTCTTTTTTGCTTTTAAAAATATTCTCATTATTTCACTATACACACACATGCATGGATGTATATATATACCTGGTTAAATACCAAGTTACCTCTTAGTTGAACTGATAATAAGAAAACATATAACATTTCATATTGACAAGTGAGAATTTAAAAAAAGGTTATATATAAACATGCTTATTTTAACTAATAAGATATGTATTGGGGGTCATGTATGGTTGTCAAGAATAAATCTGTAGGATTTATAAATCGAAACAGACAATATTTTACTAGTGGGATGGAGTATCACAAAAGTATTATGAAAAGTACTAAATTGCCCTTTAATACTAGTTTTGATTATTTTTTCAAGATTTTTTTGGTCATCTCACTATCACTTTAAAATAATAAAAGATTTAATTGTTCACAATTAATTTGCTAATAAATAATAAACCTTATAAAAAAGATCTAAATGCCCTCCATAACCAATAAAAGGAATTTTTATGGAAAGGAAAAAAATCACTATTTCACTGTTTCATTGAACAATGTCCATGAGCATGTGTCTGCAATGTTTTTCCAAGCTTATTTAGCTTTTGTTAATATCATTTAAATTACTTATCATTCTATTTTTAAAATAAGATAAAAAATACGTCTAATAGAATTATTGTGTAAAATTTTCTATTAACAATTTTAAAATAATAAAATAGTTTTCTTCCCCAAAAAAATTATCATATTATACTTTGTTAAGTTTGTTTACTGACACAGTAGTCTTAAATGCTATAGCACTGATGCTAGATAAATTAGTATATTGATTTGTTTAATTTATTTTATGAATAATATTTTAATAATTCCTTTTTAATCAAAATTAAAAAATATTTTAATAATTCTATTCTTCATTTTTCAAAATTTAAAAAATACAATGATATAAAATTTATTCAAATCAAATCCTTCCTAAATTCTCTATTTTGATGAATCAATTTTTCTCATATATATATATATGAATATTAAAAAAATAAATCTTTTTTGTCATATCAAGAAATAAATCTATTAATATATGCGTCTATATATTGTCCATAATTATTTGAATTTAAATGTTAAGATAAATAAATATCATATAGTGAGAAGTTAATTGGTGATGATAATGGATTTCTCTCTCACTTCTAAAATAAAAATAAAAATAAAAAACTCATAATCAATCCTTTTCTTGTGGAAAGACATGTCGTCTACCAGCAATATTGGTGTTATCGCTGCCTTCCACATAAGATATTAACCGCCCAGTGACGGTTGCAACTACCAACGACAAGCAAAAAGGGGTTTTCTCTTTTTGGACGGAGAATACAAGGACCCAAAACAAATCCCAGCATCATACCATTTCATCAAACACAAAGCCTGCATTTTTCATCACTGAATTCTCTCATTACAGGTGGGTCTGTACTTATCTTTCTCTCTTTCAAGCTTACTTACATTTTTCTTGTTAATGTGTGTGAAAATAATGATGTTATGGGTTTTGGGTGTTTGTTAAAATGCCTATCTGAACTTTCAAGGTTAAAACCTTGGATGTCTGTAAAAAATTGAAAAATGTGCAGTGTAGTTTGATTGTGGTGATGGGTTTTGAATAATTTGGTGATAAATTTGGTATTAGTCTCGTTGTTAGATTCCTCTAGTTTTTAAAGTTTTAAGCTTGGTATACTGTATCTTTGAATTTGATGATGCATTGGTGGCACTTGTTTCATTTCTAATTGTGAAAGTTTATGGTCTTTGTTTTCGTTGGATTCTTTGAGAAAATACTATGGACCAATATGAAACAAAATCAACAAACAACTTAGAACTATCATCGATGAAGATTTCAAATGGTGTAGCTAGTAAAACCTGTGTTGTGCTAGAACCACTAGCTCTCTAATTCTATGATTTCCTCCTGCAGAGTTGCGCTGATTAATGGAGTTGAGTTGCAGGATATGTGTGTTATAAATGTTTAACTTCTGTTAATTTTCTTTTTTCATGCATGTCTTCATATCTTATGGGGTTTTCTTTCTCATTTTCTTAATTTATGCTCTGTTCATCTGTGAGTCGACAATGCATCCTTCATTGTCTTGATAGATGATGTGCTTGGTGGCAGATTGAATTAAAGGCAGTAGGGTGGAACAATTTTGCTGAAAGTTGTGAATGAACATTGTAAATCTGCTGTAGCAGAACAACTGGATGGAATTCTGATCCATGCCAATTTCTTCCGAGTGGGCGCTGGAACAGTTGGTCGACAGCATTTAGATACAGCTACTCAGTTGAATAAACCAAAAGAAAGGAGGCCTTTTTATGTTCATTTTGAGTCAGTGAATAACCCAGAAGATAAAATGATAGAGCAATCCCTTTCAAAACCTTCATTTTCATTGTCAATTCCTATTCCTCAACCCCCTAAATCCAAATCCTCCTTTTTATGCTCCTATTCAAAAATTCGATGTCAATCAGTTGATTATCCCTCTTCATCAAAAATTGATGCAAAACACCCACAAATTTCTACCATTAACAGCAATGGTTCTTCACCATCAGCATCTGTGGATTCGAAGAACAAGGAGAAGGGTCCATACCCATATCCAGGAGGTGGGAAGATGGGGCCATATACCGGGAGGGATCCCAATGTGAAGAAGCCAGAGTGGTTGAGGCAGAAGGCTCCTCAAGGTGAACGGTATGATGAGGTAAAAGAATCTCTGTCTCGCTTGAAGCTCAACACTGTTTGCCAAGAAGCTCAATGCCCCAACATCGGAGAGTGTTGGAATGGTGGTGGTGATGGTATTGCAACAGCGACTATTATGGTTTTAGGTGATACTTGTACCCGTGGCTGTAGATTTTGTGCTGTTAAAACCAGCAGAAACCCTCCTCCTCCTGATCCCATGGAGCCCCTTAACACTGCTTTGGCCATTGCAAGTTGGGGGTAAGTTTGTTTCTTATAATTAACAATGAAAAGATTGTTTCTGTACTGTTTGCAAGTGTTTTTTTTTTTTTTAAGAGCATCAAATAAAAGCTTGTTTTTTCATTGCTTCTTGGTACCATTGCCTTTAACATGTAAGAAGAAATAAAAAGATAGACCATTTTTCAGCATATAGTGTTCCACTCAGTTTAAGCATCAAACTAATCTAGCATTTTGTTTGTTTCCTGATTTTTAGTGTGGATTACATTGTTATTACAAGTGTGGATCGTGATGATCTGCCAGATGGAGGAAGTGGGCATTTTGCTCAAACTGTTAGAACTATGAAGGTTTGTATCTGGATTGCTCTATGGCAGTCATGCTCCTATGTTACTGTGCAGAACAGTTACATAATATATGAATCACAAATTGGATCTTTTACACCTTTCCTGCAGGAACTAAAGCCAGAGATCATGGTTGAATGTTTAACTTCTGATTTTCGTGGTGACCTAAAGGCTGTAGATACTCTGGTACATTCAGGGTTGGATGTGTTTGCCCACAATGTTGAGACTGTTAAACGCCTCCAACGAATTGTTAGAGATCCTCGGGCTGGGTGAGTAGCATGTTATTGCTTTTGAGCAAGAGTTCAACATCGTTCTATGCCAGATCAGTTGCTTTGCTTTTGAAGCTAACCAGCCATGGTTGTACTTTGATAGTCAGTTCATAACATTTGAATACAAAAATTGGACAAAAATCATCAAAACTTTTCTGGTTGGTATCTTGTTCTACGCTAGCTCTGACTTTACAGATGACGCATAGCATAAACAATATATAGTTTATAAAATTCATGATTATCTCCATTTAAAGCATGCATATACATATAATGCATAAGGTATTCTATTATTTGTTGAGAACAGGTCAAAAATTGCATGAATAAACCACATCTAGTGGGTTGGTGTACTTATAGTATGTAAGCTTATGCAGACTGGTTGTTCTTTCAAGAGAATTGGATGTGGATGCTAATTTTGATTCTAATTTGTGGTTTGGAAAATTCAGGTATGAACAGAGTTTATCAGTTTTGAAACATGCAAAAATCAGTAAGAAGGGAATGATAACAAAAACCTCTATAATGTTGGGTCTGGGAGAATCTGATAATGAGGTGAAGGAAGCCATGGCTGATTTAAGGGCTATAGGTGTTGATATTCTGACATTTGGACAATACTTACAGGTAAAATGATATACCAATACACTTTGATGCCATTGGTTTGAGTACTTCACATGTAGTATTATGCCTGGAATTGGGCCTTTTGCTTTCTTAAATATATTACACTTCTAAAGCTGGCCATAGTCTAGCGTTGTTGTGCCTGGGTATTCTCATGTTGTCATAAGATGGTTTTAGTTCAACACGGCCTAGACATTTGTTAGGTTGTCGTGTCATATCACACTACTATATTTACCTGACTTCTATAGCCGGCTCTCAATATGGAACTGCTTATCTCTTGCAGCCCACTCCATTGCATTTAACTGTCAAGGAGTATGTTACACCTGAGAAGTTTGCTTTTTGGAAAGAATATGGAGAGTCTATTGGATTCCGTTATGTGGCCAGTGGACCTCTGGTAAGTTCTTTGAGTAACTATATATTTTGGTGATTATATATGTTAAAATTTGTGTTCTTACACAAATTAACAAATAGGAAAACAGGCTAATTAGGCTAATTGTCAGAATCAAAATTCGTAAATGCATCAGGTTCCATGTTCAAGTCCAGTTGTGTTCCTCTAAAATCCTGACTGTTCAAACTTACGACAAAATTTTAGTCTGCTACCATAACAAAAGCTTGCAAACTTATGTATGGTTTTGCTTCATATCCAATATTTATTATCTGTGCTTTAGTTCATTTTGTAATATTCAAAACACCCTTAATCAACATTTTTTAATATTTACACTGCATTTATTTTCTTACAAGAGCTTTAAATTTTGATTTTTCCAGGTTCGATCCTCGTACAGAGCAGGGGAACTCTTTGTTAAGACAATGGTGAAAGAAAGTTCTAAAGAAGCTGCTGCCATATCCTAATCACCCTTCGCAATCCCTTTTATTACTCCATCTTGATGGCCATGCAGCTAGAGCAACAACAGCTTGGCGCCTCCAGCAGCTGGCTTTGAGACAAGTGGTGTAAGATATAGCAGTTTGAGTTTTTGTTTCTCTTGGTTTTTATATTGCCAGCGGTAAATTTTACTCACAAATGGAAATATCATGAATGGATCTATTTATTTTTTTCATTTCCATCCTTCTTGTAACTTCTCTTGCTACATTTTTCTTCTATATATATTTTTTATGGATGGGAAAATAAAGACAAAATTTTCTTCTATATCTTTAAGTACACTATTTTCTTCCTGTAAATAAATAAAGCATATGCAATTGTTCACATGTTAACAACCCTTTGGAAAGATTTTTAAAGAGAAGAAGATATGAAAAAGGAAAAGAGCTAATTCACTCCATGGATCATTTGGTATATTTAAAGACTGCAGTGTAAGATGGTATGAAAATGCTTTATATATACTGAACAATGCTATGTGTAGTTATTAGAAGTTGAATAATTCAGGGTGAAACCCAACAATGCTATGTGAAATGCTTTATATATACTGAACAATTCAGGGTGAAACCCAACAATGCTATGTGTGGGATTTCACAGCGTTTTTTATTTTTCGAATGTCATGCTTTGTAGCTCACGCCATCATTCTTTCCTGAAGATATAGGGGCATAATTTAGAACCCCACTAATCATAGGTTAGGATCGGCTTCCATGTGATCATTTAGTTTGATTGGTTGAGATGATTGATCTGATGATTCAATTTTTTTTATTCTTATTACTTTATAAAATCAAAATGATATTTTGACTAAAAAAAAGAGTTGGAGTTGATAGTTGGGTTTTGACCGGTTTAGACCTAGGTTAACTTTTTTTTTTTTAATCTGGACCGGTTCAAATCTTAGATCGGCTAGGTTTTGGGTTAACTGTCTGGGGTTTTAAAACAATGATTTAATGTTGCCCATGCTAAATATCTCAATTCAAATAATAACGAATGTAAGTTGATTGGTGTTGAATAGAAAATGAATATAGATAAATCCAGGACTGAGATCCCTTTTAGTAAAATAATTTCTCCTGCAAAATGCCCAAATCGCTACCTGTTAGATATTCTCCTCCATGTTCGTAGAAATTTTGGTAGCAATAGCTATATTCAATGCAATATCTCTGAATTTTCTCAAGCAAAATTCTTGAATGACTCTTACTATAAGGTTAAGAAATTCAGGGTAGATATTCTCCACATTGTGATTTTTCCACAAAATATTATCACAATTTATTTTTTTCTTAATATAGATGCAGTCAGAGATGGAAGGTCATAAAAAACATGGCATAAAATATTGGCAGTTCTGGGCTTCTTGCTTAACAGGGTTGAAATTCTATAGGATAAGACAATCCAAACTATAATAAATTAAGACATAAACAATTATAAAACATCAACTTGAATATGAACATTGTGAAGATGCTTGCAAATAATATATATTATTAATTAATCAATTGCCAGGTTTAGTGTGTGCCTGAGCTTGAGATGGCTTTGGGGAATGGCAGGTTGTTCAGATTTGAATTTGCCTTTCTTGCTCATCAATTGAACGTTTAAATCATCATAATAGTTATGTCAGTTTTAGGTATTCTTGCATCAGATGACAAAAAAGCTTGATGGTGTTTGGTAATATGATATCAATTATATTTTAAAAAATTTTAATTTTTTTTTGTTTAAAATATTTTTTTTTTATGTTTTTAGATTGTTTTAATGTGATAATATAAAAATATTTTTTTAAAAATAAAAAAAATAATTTTAATATAAAAAATACTTTGAACTGTTATCGTTATCATAATTTTAAATATTATTTTAATATATTTCTATATAAAAATTACTTTGGACTATTAGTGTTATCGTAATTCTAAACAGCATATATATGTTAACCCTAGATTATGAAAAGCTTCGTGTGCAGCAAAATATTTTGTTTGCAAGATATTAAAAACCTCCATATTTTGCCTAAGATAATAAAATCATTGTTTTAAAACTTGTATGGTCTGTTAGGTAAATACAAAATTTGGACTGATCTAATTAAAATAAAAATAAAAAAAAACTTGGATGATTTGATCACATGAGTATGACTCGATAAAACATGGTTAAAACTAATCATTAACCTATTAATTTTTTTATTTTTTGAAATAATAGTGTTTTGATTTTTTTAGTATTAATTTAGATTACTCCAACCTTGCCTGGAATTTATTAAGAAGAAAACATGAGTGCCAACCATGCATTTACTATATATATAACCAACTATGCATATTCATCTCACCCAGCAGGAAACTTGGATGTTTCGTGTGGAAAATTATTTTCAAATTCAGGCTTGCTCTGAATATACGTGTTACTTTGTTGGTCAATGGTCAAAATAGGAAACTGAACGCACAAGTTCATTGCCCATTTAACATCAAAGACAAAGTTTTGACTTGCTATAGATATAGTAGTAGTTTATGTACGGCCGCCAAGAAATGAAAACATGAAATTTATGGTAAGAAAGAGAACATAATTTAATAAAATCAAACATTAAACTTAGTTTTTCTGGTCTATATATTAGTACAACTAAACCCATGATCAAGGTCTTGTGATCTTGTCTACTATCTCTCAGCTTATACAGCGATGAACACCAGCAGCAGCCTTGTCCATGACACCATCACAAAAAACTTTAGCCGTAGAATGAATGGTTATCAGCCTCTGGATCGATATGACTCTATGCATAGCAATGATCCTCATGAAATGGGGTATAGAACTGAAAGGGCCAAGCAAAGACAGGTTTTTCTGAAGTCTTACAGGTTAGCATCAAGAACCAATCTGAGAAGAAGGTCAAGATCATTGAAGCTAAAGAAGGTGGTGGTTAAGGTTAGGATGATTGTGTTGTCAATAGTTTCATTTACGAGAGGAAACGCTTTAAAATCTTGTAATTCTAGATCATCAATCTGTGCTTCCTCTCCTATGAAACTCAACAAGTCTTGTTAGTTATTGTTATTTATTTATTCTTTTTTTTTTTTTAACTAAATTCTTCATTAATAAAGCATCATCTGTTGCTGCAATTCTTTGAGTTAAATATCTGCATCTGTATAATCTGTTTTAAGCAGACAGATTAGCAAAGATTCAACACTCTCGTTTTCATCAAGATATATGACTTGAACCGTGTATAAGCTAGAGGCTTATTGCTTGTCTGATAAATTCTTTTTTTTTTAAAAAAAAGAATATATCAGACAAGCAATAAGCCTAAATAAAAGAATATAATAATTAATAATAATTAACTTAAAAAATAAATGTTTTTCAATAATATCAAGTATGTTGGAAGGTGCCATGTTCAGTCTCGAGTACCAAACACCGCCTATGACTTTCGTTATTAATTTCATATATATGTGTGCATTTGGGTTGTGGCACATCATGTAATTTGGTTCTCATTCATAGTTCCTAGGGTTTCAGCTAGTTATGTGTAGGTCTAGCGCAAAATAGCTGGCCTAATCTGTAGTGCCAAGACATGATTTGTTTTTGCCCCGCTAAATATATTCAGCTTGTGCGACACTGACGAAACAAATACAAGCCTGTTTTTGATTTTGTGAATTAAAATTGGTTTTTTTTAAAAAATATTTTTTTATTTTTTTTATATTTTTAGATTGTTTTGATGTTAAAAATAATTTTTTAAAATAATAAAAAAATATTATTTTAATATATTTCTGAGTAAAAAATACTTTGAAAAGTAATTATTATTATATTCTTAAATATAATATAAAAATAATAAAAAATAAAAAATATTAATTTAACTGTCAAGGGTTTTATAACAAGAATTTTATTTTTTATTTTATTATTGAATATATAGTTTTTTTATATAATTTGGTTGGTTTATTATTATTTTTTAAATAGGTTATAAACCAACCTTTATAAGGTAAAAAAATCAAAATCTGAAATTAAAAAACAATATAAATATAAAATTAAACTTAAAATCTGAAAATAAAAAGATAAATATCAAGATTGACTCAAATAATATTTTCCAAACCTAATTTGAAATTCTTCCAAGTTCATCCAGTTACAATTAACCGACCCTCAGTAAAACTAGACCTAATAAAATTATCTAATAAAATGTGAGCCGTCTAAAGTTTAGAACATGAAATTTTCTTATCAAGCTAGAGCAAATACATCTTTTTTAGACTTAGTCCTGCCCCGCTGATAGATAAAGGAGTCTGCTAGTAGAAGATCCAGATGACTATTTAGAATTATTTGTTCTTCAAACCTGCTACTTCAACTTGACAAACTGGCATTTTCTTTTGGGTGGCCTTACAAATTTTATGTGTTGGCTATATTTATAGGCTGATCATTTACCATTTAGTAACATGTATAACAGGCTGCAATTTGCCATTGCTAGCTAGCATCTGCTTTGATTAATTGATTTAGTGCATGTAATCCATGCTTTTTCACAGTGATATGAAAAAAATATTTTTAGATTTTCCTAAATTGGCTCCTCCTTGGATGGTCTGGGCAAAGATCAGCAGAGTTTGTCTGCCAAGAATAGAAGAATCAAGAGTTGTGCAACAACCACGCCATTTACGAAAATCTTCCATGTCCACACATTGTGGAACAATACCCTAAACTAATGGAGACAAACTCCCCAAAAAAAGGCTCTCTATCTCTCTTCTCTCCACCTCCAAGTTCAAGATTCTTGGATGAGAAAGGAAAGGGCTTTTCTTTCTTCTCCTCCTTTCTTGTATGGACTATGCTCATAGGGTTCATCCATCGACGTTAGGCAGCAATGGGCACTGCTCCTGAATACCGACCAAATTATGTTAAGCTAAATTATAATAATTCTTCGAGCGTAAGACCTCCTCCTCACAGGCGTAACATTCCTAGGTACCAATCAAACCATCACCATTCAGATGGTGGTTGTTTAAAGTGTGTGTGCTGTTGCTTTTGCTTCTTGATTGTTATGATCATCCTTCTTGCTAGCGTTATTGCCTTCATTTACATGACACTTAACCCCAAAATGCCTGAATATAATGTCGCGAGTTTCGATGTCAATGCTTTCAACATGGCTCCAGATTTTAGCCTCTATACAGAATTTGCCGTCACTGTGAAAGCTAACAATCCTAACACAGACATTTCTTTCACCTACGGCAAGGAAAGCTCTGTCGTTGTAGCCTATTCAGACTCGACTCTTTGTTCGGGCAAGCTTCCTGCCTTTCACCAACCCGGCGTGAACACGACAATGATCCAAGTTGTTTTGAAAGGAAAAAGTGAGTTCGGTTCAGGACTTCAAGAAGTTCTTATGGACAACAGGGAAACAGGAAAAATCCCTTTGCTTGTAATGGTAAACGCACCTGTTTCTGTGGTGCTTAAAAGTTTTCCATTGAGAGAAGTTATAGTTAATGTCAACTGTTCTTTGGTTGTTGATAACTTGTCACCCAACAAGAGAGTTCGGATTTTATCGAGTGAATATGCCTATGCCGTTAATGGTATGATGCTCCAAATGTAACTGACTCACATTTTTTCATTTTCCTTCTTCATTAACATCTTCGATTCCAGCTAGAAGGGAAAGGAAGAGCAGAATGGGCTAATAGCATCCATGCCATTTGTCATCTCTCAGAAATGAAATCAGAAGAGTTTTGTTCTGCACGCTATATTGTGTTGATAACTGATTATAAAGCAAGTTTATGTTATGCAGTTTTAGCTTGTTCTGTGCGGGCTTTTGTTGGAATTTATTCTTAACTATATGCATTTTGTCAGCAGTATTGTAATTCTGTAACGTATGTCACCCAGAACATGTTATTGTTTTCACTAATTTAGAAAAGCTTAATCCATGTTTGGTTAGTTCCTTCTCAATTTCTTTTCCAAAGACACATTTTCTTAAATCGCAATCTCGGATATTGTTATTTCTACTTCTCTATTTTCTCTGCAACCAAACACATGGTGTCAAAATATAATGATTGAAGACCTGCTAGATATTGTTGGTAGAAAACCACTGCAGTAGAATCAGCCGAAGCTAAATCCATGAGGATCCGCGTAAGTGATTAAGACTTGGCTAAGGATCCATGATAACTTGGGTTTAAGTCTTGTTTTTGGATAGCTTGTAAATTTCCAACTCTTAAGGTAAACAAGCATGTTGACACGGCTAGTTCCAAGCAGTACTGGAGATATCTCCACTGCTTGTAAATATCAAAGCTCAGACCATGCAGTCCTTCTTGTCGATCATCTGATGATCTATCTAAAATTCGGCATGCGAAAGCTGACTTGATGATATGTTAACAAAAAACAAGGAGGAGGAGGAGAACAGAAAGAACAAACACTATTTAACCACAAAAAAACTATTATTCTTGCTTGCTAAATAATTAAAATTTTTTATTTGAGATAATTTCTTCAATGATTAAATACTCAAGAGTTTAAATATTATCATTCTAAAAATAATATAAAATTATTTTTAGAACCTCACTTAATAACATAAATTTTTAAATTATTTGAAAGGTTATAGTTTTATTTTTATTAATATCATAACACTCATTATTGAAATCTTTTTTAATATCAAATTTATATAAAAAAAATATTTTTATATAATACAAATATATATATTTCGAGTTGTATTGTGGTCCGATTTAATAATGTTTATATTTTATTTATTATTTATTAAGTAAAATAACTATTAAAAAAACTCATGAATTCAAAACGGTTCGTATCAACAACCATTCAAATTGAAATCAAATGAAATTGCCATGGTTAAGAGGATATCCTTCATCATATCTTAAAAAGCTTGATTAGAAGGGCATGATTGCAAAGGTTCTTCCCTCAACTCTATTTAAAGATTTGAGCAAGTTCATCCACCGAGCCCATTAGACTCGGCCTCTCCAACAGTTTGGGCCTCTAACGTAAATGGGCTGCCTTGTTCTGGCAAGCCCATATTTTGCCGATCATCATAGTGGATAGCCCATTAATCATTTCAATTTCAATGTGCATTGTTATTTCACCTCCGAGCCCTAAAAAAGTGTGGGAATTGTGACCATTTGTAAGAACATTTCAAGCTTTTCCAAGTTCCATAGGGATTTCTACTTTCGAAAGAATATTAACATGATCGATCCTATCTCCATTTTCACATCCCCTGTTACGAATCCCAGCAATGGACAATGTTCTACCAACATCCTAGATAAATGCTCACTGTTAATAATTTTATTTTAAAAAAAAAAACCAGAACATTAAAGAATTCGGCTAAAATCATGAAGTTTATATTTAATATTATAGTGTAGAGTATTTTTCAAAAAATATTATTCATTTAAAAATTTATTAAATGATAATTTTTAGTTTTGATATTGACACATTAAAACTATTAAAAAATATAAAGAAATTAATTTGATATATTATTTTAAGATAAATGCACTCCATGCATTTGCAAGAACAAAGCCAAATAAAAAAAAAACAGAGACATTCATTGGACAAACAAAACCCTTTAAGATTGAATGATGGTTAGATTATTGTGCACTAATCATCATGAACATTCTCTTTAGCTCCTCGAAAAAGCAATCGTAAAAAAACAATGTGAGAGCTCTGGTTTCCATCATTACTGACCCCCAAGCTTTCCTAACATGCCCAGACAAGGAACCACCTCTTGCACTTGCAAGCCATGTCACGCCATGCCATGAGTTGGCCACCAGCCCAATACTGTAAAAACATTTTAGAGAGAGAGAGAGAGAGAGAGAGGGCGTGGGTTTGATCACCTGTTTCTTTGACTCCTGTGCTGACAACAACAGCAGCAATATTCTCTTGTTTCTGTCTGTTTGCTATAAGTCTAAGCTCTTACAAGACAAGAACCAATCATGAGCAGGCTTGCTGCGTGTGAATTAAGGATCAGGTCTTGTGTCAGGCTGGCAGAAATGACCTGCAGCACTCCATTCCACACACTGGCTCTTTCCATCTCATATCCTCTTGACCTTTTGCTCTTTCTCATTCGACCACACAACCTCTACAGCCGTGCTCATGGCTTTTTTTTTTTTTTTTTTTAGTTTTTCAAACTTCCTTTTGTTTTCCAAATTCTAATCCATGATGGATAAATTCAATATTCTCTCAAATAAGGTGAGTTTGGAGTGCTAATCTCCGATAAATTGTTATATTTAAAAAAAAAATTAAAAACCATAATATAATTTAATATAATTTCATGATTAATATATACACACACATACATACGATCTCCGGTTAATTTGAGCAATTTATCACACAATAATGATCAAGATTAAAATATAATTGAAGTCAATTCTTTATTTAGGTCTCCGGTTAATTTGAGCAATTTGTCACACAATAATGATCAAGATCAAAATATAATTGAAGTCAATTCTTTATTTATTTATTATTATTTTAACAGTAAAGAAAAATTAAATAAAAAACTAAGTTCAAACATGATGAAAAAACATGATGAAATAAATTGTAATTATATTGATTTCAAACATGATGAAATAAATTGTAATTATATTTAAGAATATTTTATACTAGATAAATCATTGGCAACAAATTTGCTAGACTTCGAGATCCTGCACCCAAACAATTTTAACACTTTCCCTTGGAAAAATCAACCATGAACTGATATTAAAGAATATTTGTAAGACCCTACCAAAGATTTGGATATGGATTTTTCGGGATAACCTGGAATAATTTAAATCTATTTTAAAAGAATATTATTTAAAAAATAATATTTATAAAAAAATAAATTAAAAATTATTAAAATTATTCCATGTAGATTTCATTCAGGACTAACTAAATTATTGAATGATTTATGAAATTATTCCAAAACAAGCTCAATCCAATCTAGAATCTAAATCAAGAAGGCACCGAACAAACCTATAAAGCAAAATAAGTTCAATAACTAGAGTTTTCCACCATGATTAAAGTGGAAAGAGTCTTCTAAAGGTTGTAATTGAAAAGACTAATGATCCAATTAGCAGAACGCATGTTCAAGATATTTTCATATTCTCTGTCCCATGATGGCTGACATATTCTCCCCCTATTACCCACTATCTTATCGCAATTCGGGAGGTGGGTTTGCTTACCTCTAAAATTGCCAAATTCACCAAAAATCAAACGAAAGTAGCCAACTTGCCTAAACCCAATAATAATAATAATAATGAGGCATACATGAAACCCTAACCATAGGAACCAAAAATCCTCCATAATCTGTTTTTCTTCAGTGGAGGTCCCTATAATTCTACCATTGAGTCACATGCAAGCTTGGGGTTTAAGAAAAATGCAATTAGGTCCTTAATAAGTGATTTTCAGGACAAAAGTTAGTCCCTCAATTTAATTGTGTGATCGATTTCTGCTAAAATTAACACTTAGTGGTCAAACTTTGATCAAAATCTAACCAATTAGCTTGTGTCCCATGTCCTATTTAAGCTAATAATTTTAACATTATTGGAGATTTCTTACAAAATTGAAGAGAGGGACTAAGGTTGTCATGAATCTTATATGTCAAGGATCTAATTGCTCATTTTGAAACTAGATGGCTCAATGTGACCGAATGATTGAACCATAAGGACCTCTACCGCGGAAGAACCGTGATAATCTGATATTGTTTTGTGCATTGGTAAGAAGAAAAAAAATCTTCATTAATTTGGGATTTCTCTTTGGCTTATGGGGGCGCATGAAGACAAATGTTTCAAAATCAGACGTGGAGCAGTTTTTGGAAGGAGAGATAACGAAGCACAATGTTTTCTATGTGGTTCTTGTCAAACCCACTCCCCCTTGAAACTGACTGCCACACCACGTAAACTCCACAAACTGACGCTGTCATGTTGGTTCAGGTAGCTCTAACTTTCCCCCACTACACACAATCATCCAAACTGTCAATACCAGCTTTTTTCTATACTCCTAACAAGTCTTAACATTAGTGTTATGTTGTTGTTATTGTTGTGTTTCTATAGTAGGATCAGAAAGAACCCATCAAGAAGACAGAAACTTTGAAACATGTTTTTTACCTTGTTTGGGTGGAGAAACGCTTCCAAGTGGTAAGTGACTAAGCTGCTTCGTGGGTTTATGGCTTCCATGATGGTTCTTTTCTGGTTTTTGTTAAAAGGGCTTCTGTTATCTTGGGTTGCAGCAAGAGGCTGATGAAGCAAGTTCAATACCGGATTAACCTATTGAAGACGAAGAGGCATTCAATTGTTAGGCAGTTAAGGGAAGATGTTGCTCAGCTCATCAAGGCCGGCTATGAAAATATTGCATTTAATAGGGTAAGCATAAGCGATTTCTTTGCTGATATAGTAACATGTCATGTTAACTTGGAATCTATTCTCTGTTATCTCCTCTGCTCATTGTCCTGCTGCTTTCTGTTGTTTCAAGTTCTATGAACTGTTTGAATGTTCGAGTCCTAGCACCTTTTTCTTGTTTAATAAATAAATGAGCTTTATTTTTTCATCAACATGATATGTGAAATGAAAGAGTCTTAATTTTGATAGCATTGATCATCTAAGCTTTACTGTTAAGTCTTAGCAGTATGCCATTGAAATTTGATGAAATAGAAGATATTGTTAGCATCAGAATTTGCAGAATGATCAATTGGGATTTTAACATATGATTATTATTGTGATTTTCAGGCTGAGCTCCTTTTCAAAGATGAAAATATTGTAGCGATTTATGAATTATTGGATGGTTTCTGCGAATTCATCGTTGCCAACCTGTCATATATCCGCTGGAACAAGTACGTATACAACTGAAAAAGAGTTTGTATTCACATCTAGATTACTCCATGTTAAACTGTTCC